ATCAATTATTTTTTATTTTATTATTTTAGTAAAAAAATCAAATAAAAAAAGAAAAGCCACATCAACTCCTCATTTAAGTGTAAAAAATGATTCAGATAGAAAACGACATCGTAGAATTAATAAAAATAAATCCAATGGTAATACAATTTATTTTTCTATCATACAAATTATACTACAAGCCACTAGGGCACTAGAGAATGTATCTTGCTTATAAATATATTTTAATTAGCCTCTACTGTTTCAAATCTTGATTTCCTTATTGTGTGTAAATTTGATGACGTTCATTATGTATTAGTAAAACAATATGCTGGTTAGCAATCAAGATTAAGGGGGAAGAGGGTTGTGCAAGATTAGAATTAATTCTATGCACGACCAATTGACATTACTCTTATCAATTCATTTTATACATTTTTAAACTTTTATACAATTTTATATATTGTTTTAAATTGAATTGACGTATATAAATAACATTCAGCAAAAACTATTTTAAACCCGCACTGAATTTATTTTAGAAATGTTACTTACAATTTAAATTGTTATAGCCATTATACATCATACAGTAATTTTCTACATATTTGATTTATATTTTTAACAGAATCTAGAAGATGTTTATGCGACAAGATTAAAAGTGATATGGATTGTGGTACAGAATCTAAAAGTTATCCTACTGTTACTGATGAATGGATCGACAATAACACTCTAAGTAGACCTGATGCGTGAGTATATTAACTATGCATACATTTTCAAATTTGTATTTAATTTACTGGTGGTAAAATAACTATAATTCTTAAGTATCATAATTTTGAGTTGGTTTGTTTAATTTTATAAAAAATTAAAGTTGACATAAATCTTATAATTGCATACTGTGGTGTATGTGGTGTAACTGGAATTTTATTCCAAAGAATTGTTGACATTTGAGTCTTGGAATAGACTCATTTATTTTGTACAAATAGTAATATTTAGAATATATTTTTATTATTAGTGTATTAAGTGTCATTAGTGTATTGTAGATTTTTCTTGAAAAAACTTTGTATTATAACTTTGCCAATTTGTATGATAAAAGTTATTTTATGCAGGTATAATATTTGATTTACTTAATTTATGGTACAATAAATAATTTCTTAATTTAATATTTATTATATACATGTATATAAATAGATCAATGAGAAATTGCCATTTCCTTAAATATAATGAAATACAATACGTAATATGAGTTATAAAATAAACCAAAAATATTTGATATAAGAAAACAAGGAAGTGAAAAATAATAATAATTAAATAAGAAGTAATAAATATAAATAATCACAATTTATTTAAGTTAGACTAATGAAGGTCATGGTTAGACCAATGATAATAAGTAATTATAATGATATATTCTTAATATTTTTCATCAAATTTTGTAGGTATTTTTTTCAATTCATTTGATATTTAAAGTTATTTTTAGTATACAAAACTCTTCAATAATGCCTAGGAATTCATCAATTTGTAAAAAAACTTGTAGAAAAATATAATCTCGCATATGATTTTTCTGATTATTAATGATATTCAATTGGTAGGTATTCTGAATATTTTTGTCTGTATAACATTTCAGATTTTGCACTTAATACTTTTTTTTGAATTTCTACATTTAATACAGGGTTCCAGTATAACAATGTTTATAAAACATTTTTTGCACTTATTTTTAATTCTCTAGTATGTCTTTTACAGCCATTTGTCTTGTTTTGTTGATGACAATATAATCTATGTGTTTCTTAAAATATAGGTATCTAGTATGACAACAACATTTTTTTATCGAATTGTACACTATCACATTTTAATGGAAATGAATGCTTATTTTATGAAATAGAAATAGATGAATATTAGAAAAGTTTTATGACTGTTAATTTGCCATACCTAATCTCGTTGGATTTATTTTAGATCTGATTTTAATTTGTTTATAATACATTTTTCAAGAAGTCATGTGAAATCATTTAAAATAATAATAGATTGGTTAATTATTAGTGTTTAATTTTGATCTGCTTATATGTATATGAATGTGTAATGTATTAGATTTTTCAAGTATTTGGGAATATTCCTAGTTTTATTGAATGATTGAAGTATAAATGTAATGTTTATATAAGAATTTTAGACTAGACAGAAAGTCTATCTAAACTAGATAGTGGCATCAAAGAAAAAACTTTAGAACCAATGCATATTATTATATGAAAAGTAAATTGAAGAGGATTGATGTAATTTCCAAGTTTTATTTAATAYATTATTTTAAAGTTGAATTCCTGTGACTGTTAGATCTGCGGTTGTACATAATAATGTTTGTTTACTTGTTAATAGTTATGCAAATGATTCTTTGGATGAAGTTTTGAAACAAATTAATAAAATATTTAAACTTATAAATGTAGTTGCTAATCTAAATTTTTTACGTTTAGTTATAATTTACATTTCAGAATGACTACATTAAACGTGAATGAAGGGGCTTCTTCATCTGCTGGTTCTCATAATGAACTAAGTTCCCTTCTCCCCACAAGTTCCGAACCAGCTATCACCCCAACATCTGAAACACAGCAGCAAAATCAAAGTTTGATAACTGTGAAAAATGAAGGTGTTTTAGATCATATGAATGATGTTTTTCCTGGTCGAGTAGAAAACAGAAGTAGATTAAGACAACGACAATTTAGGTAAAAATATTTTAGTACTGTTAACATATCATCTGGAAAAATTATTATCATCAGTAGAGAATATTTGTTTATAATGTTTTATAATATTTTTTAAATATTTTTTTTATTTTCTTGGAATTATTTATTTTTTTCTATTTAGTTCTCTTCTCGACCCATGCATAGCAAATTTGTAATCAATAAAATCAACCTHGTGTTGTTAGCGTGTATTAAACTTTAGAATGAATTKACCTATAATAAAACTTTGATAGTAGGTCAATTCATTCTTATACTAAAGCTAATAACATAAGGTTTGTTCTGCAGTTCTGCTGAATATAAATATGTTGTCCTTGTGTCAGAAAATACATGCTAATCTTACATTCTTWTTAATTACTACTAATTATAAAAATATTTTTCCAGTACTAGGCATAGAATGAGAACTCGTGAAGCATATAGTTCCCCGTTCCTACAAGCTACGGATGGTGTCAATTTTGCTGCTTGTCCTGAAGATACATCAGAAGGGTTTGTAAAAAAATACTTTGGTTTCAGATACTGATTAATAAATATAAATAATATTTCAACTTATCTATGTCTACAGATCTGTACATTTTTTTCGTGATGAAAATGGACGTTGGATGACTTATACTTTTACTAAAGATATTATGTTAAATAATAATTCTTCAATAGTTAAACCATTTCCAAATTTACCTTCAACATCACGGAGGGATGATTCTACAGATGATCTTGTATTTAATCACTCTCCTGTAAGATTATTTCCTCGTCCTATTCGTAATTATGAACARCAATTRGAACATGAAGAACCTTACTGGATGCAAAGTCAACCTCAGCGATACCGTCACTTCAATATTTCCCCAATAATTTCACCAGTTGAAGAAACCTTGGAACAAGAACATGAAAATATCAGACCAGAATATCAAGATGAGTTCCCAGTAATACCACGGCAGTTGCGATTTGACCTTCTGGATCCTAGTGTTGGATTTCCTAAACCTAAACGATACTATCTGTACACACCAGTCAAGAAAATGTGTTTTAAAGTTCACTTTGATCGTTTGGCATTACTTACTGCCATTGATCGCAATCCAACATTATTGGAACTATTTATTACCATTATTCTGGCTACTTCAGTTGCTGTATTGGGCGCTTTTGTACTGTACTTTAAATTCTACAGAGATATTCATGCATTTGTTTTTTGTTTTGTTATGGCTGGCTGTCAGTATTCCTTAGTTAAATCTGTACAACCTGATGTGGCATCTCCTACACATGGTTTTAACAAAATTGTTGTGTATAGTCGTCCAGTTTACTTCATACTGTTCTCATCCATACTTTTACTAACACACATTCAACTAAACTCTGGCCGAACATTTTATCAACTCAAATTCTATGGATTCACTTTGCATATTTTATATATATTAGAAACTATTCGTGATTTTTTATCAAACTTTTTACTGTTCTTACCAATTGCTTTTAGTTTGGGATTATTGCCTCAAGTTAATACTTTTTTTATGTATATCCTGGAACAAATTGATATACATTTATTTGGAGGTAATGCGACCAGTTCACTTAAAGCATCAGCCTATTGTGTATTAAGAAGTTGTTTAGCTGTGTCTATTTTATATGGATTTGCATATGTAGCATTAAACGATTGGTCTGGATCATCAAGAAATGTGTTTTTTTCCTTGTTCTGCGCATTGCTCACTGCCATATCTTACCATTTAAGTCGCAGCTCTAGCGATCCAGCTCCTATATTAAATGTTCTTAAAACATATTTATGGCCCAATGAAGATATATTTTCTAGACCTGATATGGAATGTCCTAGACCAATAAAAGAAACTAAAACATCAAAGAAAACAAACTCTGAACAAAAAGAAGGTGAATCTGAAGAACAATTAAAGTGTGGTAAATATTACTTTATCCAAACATTTTTTATAAAAAATCATAAATTATATATATAACAATATAATAATGTTTTTAATATATATTTAGAATTAGATGATGAAATTGAAATTCAAGACAACTGGCCAAAACAGTTACAAGATACAATAAATGCTAGATTGAAGACTGATTTAATTTTTTGTCCAATTATTGGTCTTATTGTTTTTGCTATTCATTCTAGCAATATTTTTTCAGCTTTACAACCAGAATTAAATCCAGTAAGAAAAAATACTTTTTATGCACTTAATATTTTAAGTTTAAATAACAYTAAATAAATAAAAATAACATAACATAACATGCTTAGTGCTTGTATGCCACCATGTATAATATATGTTTTCAAACTTTAAATGTAAAATAAACTATTTGTTAATTACAAATGGGCCAATATGAATTATCAAATTTTAAACTGATAAAAACAATACCACGCTTGTCAACTGCTAATATGAAGTTAAAGAAACAATGATAATAAGATACAAATCTGAACAAAGACAAATTATTTTATTTACTTTATATTAATTAGCTTACAATTTATAGGTAATGTGGTGTACTACTTTCAGTATTGGATTTATTCTACACTATATAATACCTCAATTGCGAAAACAATTGCCTTGGTTGTGCGTTGCTCATCCTATTTTAAAGCCATCTGAATATAATCAATATGAGGTTAAAAATCTAGCTAAAATCATGTGGTTTGAAAAAGTAAGTATCATTATCCATTATGTATGCTTTTAAGAAAATTATTTTTACATAATTTATGCTTAGCAAATATTGAAAAATGAACACCTACTAAATAGTTTTAAAATCTATTCTAGGTTTATGTATACTTATGCTTTTTTGAAAGAAATGTTCTCTACCCACTGATGTTTATTGGCTGTTTGACATCTGACAGCGTGATTGTTGTAACAAAACTGGGAGTTCTATTAGGTTCTCTGGTGTTATCAGTATGTGCACTTAAATGTTTACGATGCTCATTTTCACAACAAACCAACCAGTATAATATACTAGCATTTGCAGTACTGTTTTTTCAATTGGACTATGTAAAATGTTCTGAAACTTTCATTATTGATTACTACCTTACTGCTATTGCTTATGATAAAATCTATGAGTTTTTACTTAAGGTAATTTTAATTAACCTTATATCTGCTTCTTATTTTATTAATTTAACTTTTGTTTTTTACTTTAGTTGCAATTTGTCATAACATACATAGCGCCATGGCAAATTACTTGGGGCTCAGCTTTTCATGCTTTTGCTCAACCATTTTCTGTTCCTCATTCTGCAATGATGTTTCTTCAAGCATTTTTGTCTGCAGCGATTTCAGCACCACTTTATCCATTTTTAGGTAAATATTGAATCAAAATCATATAAAGTCTCTGGATCATTGTAAAAAGTTACAAATTATGTTAAGTATTTATTGTTCTTATTATTTTTTTAGGAAGTGCTATATTTTTAACATCCTATGTACGACCCGTAAAGTTTTGGGAGCGAGATTATAATACCAGACGAGTTGACCATACGAACACCAAATTGTCATCACATTTAGAACGAAATCTTGGTGCAGACGACAATAACCTTAATTCAATATTTTATGAACATCTCACAAGATTACTACAACATACTCTCTGTGGAGATATTATGTTAGGCCGTTGGGGTAACGTGTCACAAGGAGATTGTTTTGTCTTAGCATCAGATTATTTGAATTGTCTGGTTCACATTGTTGAAATGGGAAACAATTTAGTTACTTTTCAAATACGTGGACTTGAGTTTCGTGGTACTTATTGCCAGCAAAGAGAAGTAGAAGCGATATCTGAAGGTGTTGAAGATAATGATGGTATGTTAATTTTATGCATATTTTTATGTACAAATGGTGGCTAATGTCTATCTACATAACTAGCTGTATCTATACAATTATTTTATTGCAGGATGTTGTTGCTGTGAACCTGGACATTTTCCTCACATTTTATCTTTAAATGCTGCTCTTAGTCAACGTTGGCTTGCTTGGCAAGTAGTCGCAGCCAAGTATGTTGTTCAAGGATACAGTATATCAGATATTAATGCCTCATCGATGTTACAAGTATTTGACTTTCGGAAAGTGCTGGTTAGCTATTATATAAAGGTGATTTTTTAATATTTATATTAAAATTTAATATGTATGTTTATAGCATATTGTACCTTAATGCATTTTTATGTATGTGACTTAGGATTATAATATTTATGTTGTTTCTTTGTTTTATTTTAGAGCATTATATATTATGCTATACGATCACCAAAACTTCAACAGTGGTTAGCATCAGATGAAATAAAAGAAGGTTTRAAACCAACATTGTGCAAGAGTTTTGTGGATCTTGACCCAGTTTTTAATATAAATATTGATGAAGACTTTGACTTACTTTCATGTGGTGTTACCCGCAACAGTTTTTGTTCATTTTATTTGGAATGGATTCGATTTTGTGCTTTCCAAACAGAAAATKTAAGTTAAAAAAAAAGGATGTCTCTCTGCTGTATTATGTTATGACAGTGTACCTCTATAAAGTAGTATCTGAGTATTCCTTTTCATTGAGTAGATGACAGGAGTTTTAAATTTGAATCCAATAATAAATCATTGTATATAAAATAGACAGTGTATCAGTTAATATTTCTATGGATATTTTATAGTTTACTATAAACGTATATTTTGCCCGTTAAAAATACCAACTATATGATTCAATATGTTTGGTTAATTTGTYGTTTATATCTAGCTAGTCATGATCAAAACTCCCCGTGACAAATTTCCATGGATTTACCTTATCTTAATATCCATAAAATATTTTTAATATAGTCATTTAAAATACAGGACTAAAAGTATATTCAAATCATAATATTTTATCTCATGTCTAGCTGTGTAAAGGTGAAATAATTTCTAAAATTGGTATCTAATAACAAATTGCTAATTTCTTATTCTTCTATACTAAATTGTATAACCAATAGCAACCATATAATATATAAAACATTGAATATTATTATTATTTCTATAAAAAATCTCAAATTTCCAATAAAAAAGTTAAGGACAACTTATCAAGATATAATATAGCTTATAGATTCATGTGATTGTGTAGCTTTCTGATTGTAAAAAATTTTTAAATCGGTTAGGTTAGTTCCAGATATTTAGCCGATAAAACAAACAATTTTTATTCTTTATATTATACAGCCCTTTTAACCCTAATAGGGATTGAATTTTGAAAACTCTTGTGTTGGGGGGTTTTCTCATTATAAAACAAACTTACTGGCACAATTCCATACTCATATTTTCAGTGGTTCCGGCTAAATCATTTTTTTCGTTTTTAATTATTTTTAATTCAGGAATTTGAAAAATCCTTTCCTAGTAGGTCCCTACATTGCTTAAAGAACCTCTGTACAAAATTTCAAGTCCCTAGACCCAACGGTTTGGTCTGGGCGTTGATGAGTACATATCCTATAATATGTATATAGATAGTATTATATTACACTAGTTGTCCAGCTGGCATTGCTTGTGCCAAAGATTTTTTTTTATTATTATAATATAAGTAAAAAAAAGTATATGCCAAATTTCTATTAATTATTTTTTTTTTTTACTWATTCTAATAGTTATTTATAATATAACCAAATCGCATCCCATTTATTCTTTTTTCATGAACTGAAAATAAATTCATGTATGAGCTACCCTTTAGTTATCTATAGAAGTTAAAAAATAAGTTATAAACACCATCCAAAGTCTCGAGGAATCTATTCATATATAACTTATA